CAAAAGCACGCGATTCTGGCGAATCCTACGGGCCCGCATGTTGGTATTGTAAAGCGATCACAAGCCAACTCCAGAGGCCATCGCATGCTGCCTCAATTAACCAAGCCAATGAAAGATGCATTAAGAATAGTGTATTTCCATCTTAAAATATAAAAATAGACGATCGGATCGCCGACCTTTCATTTGACTACTCCCAGACGAAGAAGGAGTTCTAAAATGGACAAATTGTAGAGCTGAAATGTGCGGAAACGGAAGTGCTTTCAGACAGTAACTAGCATCGGGAATCAGTGCACGTTTACCTCATCAGTCAACCTTACCTCCAAGACATTTGTAGAAATGTCGCATTATCGTAAGGCGGAGAATATTCACCAGCCTAGACTGCAGCACGAGATTGCACATTTACTTCACCAGCTGGGCCTACAACGTTAACGAGTTGCAGTAAGAAGGCACATAGGAGAGCAAACAACGCTGATGTGTGCGTCCCAAAAAATTAGGGAAAAGTCGGCAGCATGGGCCAGTGCACGTTTACTTCATCATAACACTACCTTTAAGCGCGGGGTGCAGATGAAGAGCGAGTAAACGCCGCCTGCATCCAGTTCATGGACGACAGCAAAATGTCGGTACCACAAAGGCAAACAAATTCCAAAGCCAACCCGACAGACGATCGATAGAGTTGATTCTGGGGCTTCAGGGGGGACGCATCAGCGCGTGGCAGGAGTGGGGCAACGTCACCGTGGCAAGTGAGGCACAGAACCGTCTACTTCCGTGGTAGACTTCGCGCGTCGCGAAGGAACCAAGCACAGAAGTAGAGTCAGACACCAGCCCAAAGTGGATCACCGATACCCCTGCCACGTGCAGCTCAACACCGCCACTCGTCTAAACTACTCTCTAAAACAAGTATGACTGAAGATGATTGTGGATTTTGTCCATAAAATTAGTGCTGAAGTCAAAAACAAGGCAACAATAAATTAACAGGAATATTGGCGGAACGTTTAGGAGTTATTTTTACATTCTTATGTGGTCATAATCGAAATAGCAGTTTGGATGGATCTGCTTCCCTTTTATCAACATTTATTAAAACCATTTAAAAACCTAGCTAAAGATGTTTTTGTCCTTTTTACAATAAGGTAAAGCTTTTTGAAAGTTACGGGGTGTATTTTCGCTGACTGAAATACATTTATTGCAAAAACCATAACAACACTTGAGCAGCATTATTAAGAAGCCAACTTGCATAAAGACATTTGGAAACTGCTTTTATTATTATTCATTGTGTTATTATGCCACAATTTGCTATTTTTCTTGACTTTGCGCTTGTCGTTGCAGGCACATAAATCCCCATAGTTTTGGATTCTGCTCTGTGCCTCGACTTTGGGTCAAGCTAGTTGCATCCTCTTTCCTTTGCTTTATACATTCTTCCATAGTGCTTTGGCCCACCGCGACTTCAGCGAAACCTAGAGCGAAACCCATGCAACTATGAATCGTTTTCAGCTAACATTTTTTCAGTTCTTATCTTTTTAGAAACTCTTCTTCCAGGTTTTAGATCAGGATTAAGGTACTGACTTTATTTTACCAGCTTATGACCCCGTCATTATCTTGCAAGTGAATGACTAAATTTTTGCAACGTTGGAATATGCAGTGAGTTATTTTGTGAATGGGGAGAAACACCACGTTATCTGGAGATGTTCCCCCAAACCACTTTTTCTTCAAAAGATAAGCCATACTCCGTAGCGCCTTTTCGGCTGCATTACCATTCGCCCTCGTTTAGGTGAATGTCTCATTATTTTGAGTAAATCGTCAAGAATCGGGAATATGTGGTTGTTTGCGGTTAAGCATAGACTCCACTCATGGCAATTAACTAATCGACTCTGTTGGCAAATGAACCACGCTTTCAGGAACAGACCGAAAGTAATAATATTAAACTTACTCTAATGTAGTGCCTACATTGTTTTAATGTGCCTTTCAGAGAGGAGGCAAAGTTGCAATCCTAGTCTGATGTCATAGTTGACGTCTCCCAACCCTGAGAGCGATTGCAGTTCTTGTTTTCCTGATCGACCTCCCTCTAATAAATCGGTCCAAAGTAAATTAACCGAGTTGTCCTGAGAGCACTAGGAACAGGGAACAGGAGACCTGTATGTCTCGCCCTGCGCTGCTATTTTTCGACAGTGCTCTTTATTTTAGTAGTCTCCTTTGACACCAGCTGGGGGGCGAGTGCGGTTCTGGTTTTGAGTGGGAGCGTGTTGAGTTTACTGGTGTATGGTGCGGTCGTCATTGTCGGCAAAACCTTGACTGCCAAGTTGTGAAAACCGGAAGTATGGCCAGCACAAATATTTGATGCCACCATTCAAGGATAATCTCGCACGTTAGCTTTCAGAAGTCCTCAATTTTGTCTCAAATAAGCAGGATTTGACGCAATAGTAGGACCAGACGAATCGAATGGGGCGCGCTCAACTCACGATGCAAACGTGTGTGCATTGAGGCAAAGGAGGGTGTACATCGAATTTCAATTTGAAAAACAAAATACCTCAAGACAAAAGCAAAGGCAATATCACAAATAACGACAAAAAGCAACAAACACTGGACGAGGTCAAAACATCCACGTACAAAAAATAAAGGACAGATTAACCACAGTCATCCAACAGGGACGCAGAGAGGTCAGGTTGACGTTATCATCATCATCATGCGTGTCAGAGCTCCCAGCTGAAGAGGTGGTACTTCACAAGCATGTCTCCGGTGGACTCGAAGTCGTATCGGAATGCACCGAAATCCTGCCCCAGGCGTTGGTACTCGCGCAACGGCCTCAGACCCCCCAGGCCCAAACGAGAGAGCAGGCGAAGGGGCATCTTGGCGGCACGAAAGAGGCGTCGCACCTCCGCCCCTGTCCCGCTGTCACTGTGGTCACGCTTCTGGCACACTGCCTCGCTCACCTCCGCTAATGGGTTCAGATGGAAAGCGAACTGGCTGAGGACCCTAAATTTACAGCACAGGTCAGTAAGTAGATAGGTGAAGAGCAAGTTAATGGGACAAAACATTTCCTTTAGAACCTTGTTTACCATCTAAAATTTTGTTCCGAAGAGGATGAGGATTATTTAAACCAAATGATAAAAGTAGGTCATTGTATGAACGAGATGATAGCAGAAACACACCTCAGCTCACACTTGATCTGGACCCATCCCGGACTCCGCAGGAAGGACCACGGGTGATACCACTTTGTGACCACTTCTTCACACGAGCAGAGAATTTCCAGCCAGAGGTGAAGCACCAACTCGCTGCAAACGCGCATCACAGATTTGCTGTTCCATCACTCCAACAGCAGGTGAGCATGATAATCGAAAGCATGAACATACTTGAGACCGATGCAGACTAGAGTACGAAATTTGGCATCATCCGAAACGCTCGGTGAAGGATGCGACGCGTTGATGTTTTGGATAGACTACAATGAAAAGTAGGTGCCATCCGCTTGAGGAAAATATGGCAAAAAAGGAGGAGGGTTCCTTACTCGATAGAGGAGCTCCTCAGGACTCAGAACTTTGCCCACCTCATCCAATCGGAAGGTTCGGCAGAGCACGAGACGAGAGTGAATAGAGGAGGAGTCGCGTTCGGCTTCCCACACCGCGACCTCCTCAATGAACTTCCAGGGGCTCGAGCTTTGGTCTGTCAGTCCGCGGGTCTTTTTCAGCCCGTACTCAAAGATTGCGCACAATGAGGAACACAGTCTGAAACGATTAGTAGTAGCTACTACTGTGTAAATGTGGTTATCGCTGATTCAACCGCATTATGTGGCAACTCAACCTAGGAATATTTTGACTGACTCTGTAATCACTGTCAACACTTCTAGATCCCGAATCTTACCTGTTATTATAGGAAAGTTGCGCGAAAATCAACCTTTGTGCATAACTTTGAGACTTCAAGACTCAGACCTACCCGCGCCTGACTAGACTGCCGACACCGGGGTAGACGGAGTCGTCGCCAGCAGGAGAGTAGCGTTTGGAGCGCTCATCGAGCAGTTCCACCAGTTTGGCAGGAAACCACCCACGCAGACCGTTCATCTCACCCAGCCAGCAGTGCTCATCGTGCATGTCAACCACCGTGATAATGTCATGTCGCAGGAAGCCCAGCTCGTCCTTTTCCTGACGCGCAAAGTCCTCCAGTGCCTTGGCTCTTCTACTCTGAACCGCGGCCATCTTAACAAACACGGTTTTATCGTTTCAGGGGTTAAAAATGCCTGCATTGCCTTTGAGCGGGCAATGGAAAAGGGTCGAGGGGAAGATCTAGAGTGTAATTTGTCGAATATCACCCGAGATAAGCGGGCAGTAGTAATGCTTTTTCAACTTTCGGAGTAGAGGGTACTCAATTTGTATCACGAATGAAATCTCTATATTTCCACTTCGGCTAAGGAGAGGCCATTTAGAGGCTCTAAGCCTTAGCGGCTGAAAAAGCCAAGCGATAGAATCAGACTTACCTGAACGTAGGCTGTGAGATCTCGTCCATGACTTGCCAGAGAGTAGTCCGGTTGGGAAGAGACCTTCTCATGGCTAGGATCATTGTAATGGAAGTGGCGTACAATCTAAATTGGAGAGTAGTTTACATCAATGAGACTTTTTGCTCCTCTGAATGTGCAGATTTTATTTCCTTAATCCATGATGACCAAAACTAGGTAAAAGAAAGCGATCACAGCACCATTAGACACGCACCACTAGGATAGCCTGTCTCAGATTGACAAGCAGTTCCGTCTGCCGAATATTTTTAATTTTGGGATCGGCTGTGTTGAGATCGTGAAACTGGCGATAATAGTCGATCCTCGTGTGCTCGTCTGCGATCAGCATTGGTGGCGCCTCTTGAATCACCTCACTCACATTCCTCTCAAGCAGCACATACTCCATCTCCTCCTGAGGTCTGAAGGTGCGTGCTCGACCACCGAATACTCCACAGAAAAGGCTCAGTGGACCACCGTATCGGGACTCGTCCAACTCCCGTTTGGAAAGAAACTATGATTATTGAAATCCGCGATGGTCAGTTATGATTGAAAAAAAGAGCAAAAAAGTTTTATAAAATGTAATGGTGCGGAAAATTTACATCTTTATGAAGGTGAAACTTGTGAACCCATGTCAATGAATGAATTATGATGAGGAGTGGAATGAGGATGGAGTGCATTGTCTGCATGCTTAAACACGGGAAGACGCCCGTTCTATTTTGATGGAGGTCTTGCGCTAGGTTCAAAACGGTTTGTTCGACCCACGAGTGCTTATCGAGATGATCGTTTCCACACAGGGAATTCTACCACCAAGTGCAAAAGTATGGAAGATGCCATTTAAGCTAACTGTAACGTCTTAGCTGTTTATTTAACTCTTGGTTTTAGCTTCGCAGGCATTTTTGGGCTCCGCTATTGTACCTCCGCAGGGTAGCCTAGTCCCCGGGTCAAGCCACCAGCCTCTAGCCTTTCTGTCCGTAGGCAGAACATGCTCCGCCGGCTATAATTGCCCTCTTTCGTCTTCGGGCAAGTCGCAGGGCACTACACTAAGAAGCTGGAAAACATTTGACTATATTTCGCGTGGATGTGCAGCTTCTCACCTTAGAAGTAAATAATTAAAAAAAAACTGCTACAGTAAAGTCAATGGACGTGCTGGATGTAACCGTATGACATGGCGGTAGTGAGCGTGGATATGTCCACACACCAAGCATGAAAGGAAACTTGCCAACTGCTGGTCCCAGTCAAAAAAAAAGCAAATAGAAAAGTGAATAAAACGCTCTTTGATATATAAGACTGTAAAGTCGATCTCGTCGACTGGACGTACCTGTTTCGGCAATGGTCGGGCGTGCTCGTTCTCCCTACCCTGACTGCTCATTTCCACAATCAGTTGAGATAGATGGTGCCTCCGTAGTCCGTCGATATATGTCGGATCAAGGTACTCCTCTTCAAACGAATATGCAGTCTGCAAATGAGGAAATCAGTCTAAATCCATCCATCTTGTTGGAATCAAGTGTAGTCTACTTCACTGTTAACTTGACAGGTTTCACCCCCTTAACACCACCCATTCAAATACAAAAATGGATTTTGAGGAATAACCTTGATTTAAGCAGTACAAAATTTTCATGATTTACCCTTCAGCTTAAACAATGGAACAGATTTCATTCGAAATTAGTGGAAAGAGGGAAATGTGCCATGTGGGTGGGTTTTAATAGCCCCTTCAATGATCCATGTTCAGCTTTGTCATCTCAAATTGTCCGGCAGCAGCAAAATGGCTCACCATCTAGTGCCTAAACTCACGTGGATGTTCCTTTGCTCGGCGCTACTTTGGTAACTCAATGTAACTAACATTCCCTGTTACTTAGGCTTCGCTGCGTTGACCATTTATACCCCTCCCCACATTTGCAGGATGCTTGTCTTGAACAATTTACTCAAATTTCATGACAGAGTACCCTGCATTAAGTACTTTCGCCTCAAATCTAGCAGAGGCTAAAATTATGTCAAAGTGTCCATCTAGGTAGCCTTATAACGGCTCTACTTTTTCGAGAAATGTCGGTTTAATCGCCTGCTTTTCGGCAAAATCTAAAACCTTTGTACTTATTTATTGCCCCATTATCGTGGAATTCAAGGAAGTGGCGTTGTTCTAAAACTCCGATTTCATGTATCGTAATAAGGATACAATGTAGTCGCCGATTCCGATTCGATCAACGCAGTTGCACTCCGGCGAAGTTTTAGTATAAAGTTAATAAGACATCAGTTAGAGGTCAAAAATTGCTGTAAAAACACGAAGAAAAATCGTTATGGCCGCTTTAAATGACGTTACAAGGACGCTATAAAGCAAGCACCCTTCACAAAGTTGATCAAGTGAATCTACGGTAGTACTTGAAGTGAGTAGAGTCGCCCCAACCGTAAAAACAACATAACAAATCTTGCATGAGGGGCAGTAGTGATTCCGCAAAAAAAAACCTTACTCTGAAGTTATAAAGCTGTCCCTCCAAACAACATACTGTAGCCGCACTACTACCACCTCAAGCCGAAGGATGCCATTGACTGGCGTGAGCAAGTGGCATGTCGATTCCAGTTGGCAAAAACTGGGGTCCTGCTGAATTTACTGTGCTTGTTTATGAATTATTTACCGTCTTTTTCCTGATTCCTGTTCATTCATCAATCCCACCTCGCAAAAAAAGGATGTTGAAAGGTGGCTGGGTCACAGTTCAGCCTCGACCTCATTGTTCTTTCTGATAGGGGGTAATAATGCGGGCCAATGGACCAATTTAAAGGTGATGTGCTTTCAGGTTTTTTTTGCTAGCAGTAAAACAACCCTCTGTTTACTGCCCACGCACACACGCGTATTAGGAGCGGTACTGAGTTTACCACAAATAACACCCACAACTGCCTTTATTTCTCAACAACTGCGGGATGCTTATGCACTCAGAATTCACATGAACTAGATTTCACAATTTCAGCTTTAATTTTGAACAGCAGAAACGATAGTTATGCCATGCTGTATATTTTCGCTCCAGAGGCAATACACAAGCACGAGTTGCATTCACGAATGGCGGTTTTTGCTTGAACAACAAGTTATCCACCACCAAGTATTGCTTATGTTTACGAAAGCAGTTTCGTGATGTGGCAGTAGGAGTGAGTATTTTGGCGTCTTCCATGGATTGGTCAGCACTTTTACGTCTGATGATTGTTCCAGGGGTGAATCGGATGCTCCAATACGAGTAAATTTGCTCAACTAAGCTCAAATGGGTATTTATTCACATCTCCACCAGTTTTTCATATTGCACATGCCTCGTTTTAAACTACGAAGTTGGCGATGCCTCTGTATCAATCATATAACCAGAGGCGCATTTAACTCCCAGTGGCGTTGGAAAAAATCTCCCAGATAAACGCAGATTAAGTTCGTTAATAAAAAACATTTCAGGAGAGTAAACTCCCCTTCATTTTACGACCAATTAAAGGTACCTCGGATTAATGCTAGCAGTGAAAACAGCATTTCCACACTGCTACACGAAACTGTACGGTAGTCTCACTGATGCTGTCGAGTGGTGCGGATGATTGGTGACACTCAATTTCCACCGCAGCGTAACAAATCGTGATACTGCGCTCATAAGGCAATACTGCCAGTACATCTCACTAAGCTTCAGGTTTGTTTGTTCGCCAGACTGAAAAAAACTTCAAAAATTGTTCTTTGAAGTACCCAACTGCTTCATGAGTCACAACATTAAAAATTATTTGGCGAATTGACACGTGGATTCCACCATACACCTTTTACCTAAGATGAAGCATCCTAGAGCGTGTCGTAAACTGGAGTGTGGCATTGCGATGCGCCATGACATTAACACAACCAACTGTTAACCAATACTTGAATAATTTCCAGTTTCAAGCTACTTTTGTGGGAATCTGTTCGACACATTAAAAAGTCCCAATCACTAACCTTAATGAGTTCAACAACGTCCTTAATCGAGCCAGGGGCGTTTGAGATCTCATTGAAGAAACTGGCCGTATTGGTTGCGGAGACCAAAGCCTCCTCCTAAAAAAATCCAAATAGATTACCTTACCAAATGTATCAATAAATAAAGTACCTCGTAAACGCGACAAGGGTAAAATGTTGGTTTGCTTCCGTTACAGTGTGGGAATGGTTTCAATCACACGCACTCAAATCAGTACTATACTCAGGATACAGTATTTTTTAACTTGTATCACATAATAATCCTGAAAAAGGAAGCAGTCGGTACGTTAGCTTAACGTCTTTTATCTTAACTACACTTTTGATGATCGCCACCCAAGATACACTGTGCGTGGGGGAGGGGAAAGCTTACTGAGGCAAGTCAATCGGTGGGGGTAAATTGACCATTTATTTCTCGGACAACGTTCATTAGTAGTAAGAGGGGCTTGACCAGTTGCTTGAAGGCTTAGTAGATTAAGAATAGTGCCCCAAACCACTAACCTTGATCTTTAGAATGGCCAGTGAGATTCGAAAGAGCACGGTGGGTCCCTCGTAGAACAGGAGGTCCCACACTCGGAGCACGATTTGCATGGGTAAAACACCAGAGAAGAGTGTTAAAAACCACCCGAGTGTTATCAAGGGTAAATCTAAATCAAAAAAGATGTGTTGCAAATCGTGATATGCAAAGTTGAATGGAGCAGGAGTAAAGCATGTCCCGATTTTCTGTTAGATTCAACATTATGTAAGATTGAGAATATGTGTCCACTTGATTGAGTATTAAAATAAGCAATTGCGTCCAAAGGGCTTGATTGGACTAACTTGTAACTGTTTCAAGAATACAATTGTCGTAGGTTTAATCGCCTATTCATAACATAAACATTGACCTTTTGTAAATAGCCCAAGTGTAACAACTGCATAGATAAGCTATGAAACCCCTCATCCCGGTTCTCAGAAGGTCTGAGTTACCCTTGAAGCGTTGTACAGCCTCAAGTAGTCCTGTTAGGAGGAACACATATTCCGAACTACTAGCACTGCAACCCACAACCATCGCTGCCCGTAAATAACGATATCACTATAGCTGCATACTTATCAGTTCAGTCTTCAATAGTTCAAGCAGCGTCCCTAAAGCTGTAAGTTACTATATCACGGAAGCAAAGAGGAACTGTTAAGCCCGATAGCATAGGTGAGAGGGCTCTAAACGATTGGTAATGAAGTTCGACTTGTTGGCGACCCGGAAGCTCTGGGCAATCTTACCGACATCGTGCTGTTGAAGAATAGCATCGATGCGAGGGAGGAAGACAGAGATGAGTTGACAGAGGACGCGCTGGTCCGCCTGAACACCCAGAAGACTGTCAGCTGAGAAATACGAGGAGGGTAGGACCTCGTCAACAATCGCACACATCATCCAAAAGGCAGTCTCCTCCTCCAACAACAGCAACAGGTTGGCCGCTATCTGCAATGTGCATACACACCCAATGCCTTGTCACTGATTGGTGCGGCCTGAGGGATAATGGCTCTCGAAAGCTAAGCGGCATATCCAAGCGTTTTAAGTATAATCTATGTCCCCTGCCTAAACAAATACGTCATAACTGAATCAAATTGCCAGGTGAGGTTTATGTGGACCTAGCAACAGCTCAAAGCTCTGCCAATAAAGTCGGTGTCAACTTTGAAGAGACGTATGGCCGCATTGTTACCTGAGAAATCTTTCTTGAAGTGAACAGTGATCTAAAGATTATAAAGAACTTTGACGGATTAATGATGTCGTGACACAGAAATGTGGTTTTTTTACCAAGAAACTAATTTATTCATTTTACCCTAAGGGTCTGCAATTTTCACGCATCAAGTAAAGGCATATATCGGTTTTACTTTGGCATATTAGTTAGCCAGATTTTGAAGGGGAACCAACCACCACACCTCTAATGCCCTACTTTACTCAAAAATGAGGAAATGTGATTATCTCACACCTCCCTCATTATTTAGAGCTCGATCAATCTGTCTGCAACAAGCTTTGATGCTACCGGTTGCCACTGACTGATAAGGAACGCAAGGCATACGTTTGCAACGATGACAGTAAAGCCTTATCTTTGATAACAACTGTGGTAGTAACTTGATTCTTAAGGAAACTCTTATGCAGGTCGCATTTTGAACGCTGAAAGGTAAGTGTAATTACTAGACTACTGGCTCAGGAGCCGCTGAAAGTAATTAAGTAGTTAAACCGGGGGAATGTACAGCTGTGCTTTCTGTAATGAATAAATTGTTTTTAAGATACCTTTTTGTTCATCAACGAAGATGCTGAGGTGAAACGCGGGTCGTCAGAGAGCCGAATCATCTCAACAATCTATTACGCTTTTATACAAAGGTATTACACATTCTAAAAGGTACTGTAATACTCTAATTGTTTGGTTAACTATTGGTTTTGATAATGGGCCACCCGGGAGGCCCGCCATTGTACGTCCGCCGAACGGTCAGGCCTCTGAGCCGTGCCAGCAGTTCGAAGCCCAATTGTGTGTCGACAATGCCTATTCTCGGGGTGTCACAGAGTGACTATTATGGGACGAGATTCACAACATCTGAATATGGCTACTTGTGATTGCTTTTTCTCAGATTACAAGGCAAAAAACTAGAACCCACGGTCCAAAAAGTGGTGGTTTGACAGAGTTACAACGTAATGCCACATGCTGGGGACAATTGCGATGAGGTTCACGTCAAGCCATTTAAGCAAATCATTTCGGCACATGAAAAATATCGTGCAGATAAGGTCAACTCAAGAGGAATGCAACCAGGAGAAAGTAACCTGCTTGGGGATATTTTTAACTGCTGCATCATTCACTAGGAGTGAGGCCAAGTACACGGTGCTTTGAGATAAGTTGGTTGTGAGTGAGCACTCAGCTCAACGTAAACATGGGGAAAATGGAATGGGAAACACTCAGTAGTAAACTGATTCATTTTTTTGTGGCGAGGTTTGCAAGTAAGCTGACTAGCAGTAATTACGGCTACTATTGGCGCAGCACACCATGGGATATCCTTTCGTAAATGCGCGTCTTCCGGTAAAAGAAGGCGTAGGGAGTTAATCGTTAAGATACATTTTAAGGGGGAGAGATGCCGAAAGTATTACTTCCGGCTCAGAGGAGTCGTAAATACTTACTTACCACTCCCAATCCCTGACAGTAGCCTATATCAGTGTAGAGCCAGGCAACTGCAGTTAAAATTCGACGCAATCGAGGAATTCCGATAGACGATCCCGAGGAAAAGCAGACATTGTTAGGCATTGTTCTCAACAGGTCCTAAACAGGAAATCAGATGACGACTTTCGCAATTGTATAGCATCTTTATCTGAATTTATCGAATGTGGCGCCTCAAGCAAACCTTCTCAATTTGGTGGGCAACCTTTGGAGATACAGAGGAGCTGTATCGAATGACCTCGGCGTAACTAAGCGGAACTTTCCTGCCGCCACCACCGCCATCATTGCTGGCTTGTTGCTGCTCATAGGCGCGAGTGAGACGCGGCCAAATTTGGGCGCGTATGGAGTGAGGAATGCCATCACGGGGACTAAGTTTGGAGTCCGGATTAGGCACTCCTGACCACTTGAGTCGCTCACCAGAATTTTGTGGGTCCTCTAAACCACGAATTAGCTCAGTCAAACGCGGGGATGCGCTCAGACGGGGAAGAAGACGACTCCAGAGGGAATCTTCACTACCACACTCCTCCCCAATCTCGTTAGAATCACTAAACCGACCAGTGTATGAGAATTCAAGGCAGGCCATCCAGACTCGCCGATTTTCCACTGATTCAATGAGCGGTTGCGGTAAAGCTTCTTCTGCGTAAAAAGTGAAGGAAGATTACGCTAATAATGTTCGACCAGAAAAGACATTAGAGTCTAGTGAAGCACTCGAAAAGGTCATTTATGCTGCTCTTTCTTGCATAAAATGCGGCAAAATAACACGTGGCTAAAATCACTCCAAAAAATTGCTATTACTTACTTTCACGATCAATCTTAAAGCCAAATTCATCAATGATGATTGAGGGTTTTTTTGTGCGCTTTATCGAGCCTTCGCCAGCTTTTTGGGTAGTCTCCTCCTCTGATAAGCTAAGATCATATTTTAAGGTATCGTCAAGTGGTCGAATGGTCTGTGTCACGGCGGAAAATGGTATAGGAAGATCCCATTCCTGATTACCATCAGGTTCATGAATCCCCTCATCGCATGGCTCCAGAGTTCCCATTAGAATACTAGCTCTAAAATTAGGCAATTGTGAATAATCGCACACTTATTATAAACCATTAACAACGAGTATGTAAACAGCAGATTCGGAATTCCCTATTGACATTAAATATCTAGTGACACTTTGCAACCAGAAGGAGCAACCAGGGATTGATCATAATAAACAACGCGTCTTCAAGAGATAACGTCAAAAGAAATCATTTAAAAATGAACAAACACAGTGAGAAAACGACAGAGACCGCCACGTCCACAGAACGCCGAGCCCAAAGTGCGCACGGCCGCTTGAGTGACTAAGCCCATTAAGTAAAACAAAACAGTAAAATGCTTTTTGTCTTAATATAATTATAAATACAACAGCCCACTATATAAAGGTTTAATTGGTATGATAAGTCTATATTAAATTGTTTGCTGATGTCGTTTGCTACAGCAGCTCCCCTAGTCTTCCTGAAATTGTGATTAGCCATAGATGTGAGGAGGAATATATGCTAATTATGCACAAAAGGGCTGATTAAGGGTCATTTTACCAGACTAAGGCGCATTACGACAATACAGGCGAACAAGTAATTGAGTATGAAGCAAAACTAAGCATTAATAAACTCCACTACAATCAAACCTTGAACATATGGAACGTAAGTTGCTGGATTCCACCACAGATCAAGAGACACTCCAATAAAGGCAAAAATTGCTTTATTTCAGAAGCTAGGCCATAAATCATTCATATCATACCTTAGAACACTCCACTTCCATTTAAAAATGGCCCAATACGTCACTATTAAAAAAGAACTAATCGCCGTTGCAATAATTGCTTGCAATGCCGCTGTGTAATACGACAGTGACTTATCCCTCGGTACTGGTGAGGCGCCACTTTTGTACTTTGAATCAGCCCCCTTGTACTTCGCTGGGTGGGCTCTTCTTTTGGGCCATGCCAATAGCCCAGATACCTTCTCCGTGTTAAATATATGTAGCGTCCCGAGACTCCCTGAAGACGAAAGAAGACAAAATACTCGGGCAGAATATATATATATTCAGCACGGAGAAGGTGTCC